CCCTCGCTGCTGATGGATGGTTAGAATTCTGTAATGACTACGTTGGCAACCAGGTTCAACGCTACCTGGCGCAAAGATGAAGACTATGATTCGCGGCTGTCGACATCAGTCCCAGTAGCAAAACAACAAAACCACGTTCTGTGGACATCACAGTGGTGGCAGCCTTCACAGATCACAAACGGCTAACACCCAACATATCAGATGTTCGAGTGAAACAAACAAGTAACACTCATCACCATCATCGTTATCAATACACATCAGCTACAGGTAAAACGCCTGTTATTGCGCCATAATACAATGCAACTACATAGTCGCAAAGGAAGGAGAGAGGCGAAGGCAAAGAAGAATATAATGCTGTTACCTTTATAGTGCAAAATGAGATTGTGGTTGGATGGAGAGGCTGAGCGGGATGGCAAGGAACAAAGGAGCTTAAAACATCACTCAGACCCAGTCATCGCCGCTCTAACAAGTGTATCCAACCAAACGAGTTTTACTGGCTTTTGAATCCTAAGCAAGTAATCGGTAGGCATCAACCATGGTGAGGTAGGAAACAAGAAGCTTCGTTCCTCCTGACTAAGAGACAGCGACAGGACTCTCCTCTTTTCTACCCAGACCCAGACAACGCAGTTCGCGGGTATCTGTGCGCGGGTAGGCCTAACACATGGCCCAATCATCATCGATATAAAATAAAACAAAATGTATATTCTCGGTGTTATATTAGGTACGTAAACAAAAGCATGATCAAATGTGTACTAATAAATAAACGACTATCAAAATTTGAGCAAATATTTGTCTTGACGATGTGACTGAGAAGAACTGTGAGTTCCACGATGTGGTATTAAAATGTGACATCTATTCTCCCTCACAAGTTGATTCAGTTTTGAAATGAATTGCTTTTGTGAAGGCAAAAATGTTTTTATGCACGAAAGATGATGCAGACAGAATACTGTCGCAACTAAATGATGTACTGGCATGAAATCGACTGTCTGAGCGGCTATTCACAGTCACCTGCCATCCATTCTCCATCCTCAGGCATACAATGGCGAGGAACTCGTGTGTCCGTATTGAGTTGCAACCCTATCCATTTGAGTGAATGGTGCGCCTCATGGAAGTAAGTACTGAAATCCCTAAGTATGGACAATCCAGCTTGGTTACAAGACAAATCCGGGAAAGCAGAAGTATCTGTGAAAAGCTTCGAAAGAAAGGCAACAGAACCAAGACATTCAGTTGTGCCCCCGGATAAACAAAAGGCCAAATGCGCCCCCTGTTCAGGTGTTATTCTAACGATACATGTGGTCGAACGCAATTTTCCCCTCCATGTCTGCAAGTCTGGTTGGCCAGGTTTCGTAACCACCCAGTAGGGTTAAAAAATAACAGCCGTATTGAAAGCCATCCTTCGGGGCTAGCGCATTGTCGCACAAACACCTTAAGTGTCGAAGCCATATAATGTTCGTGACCTCATCATCGGTTCCAAAGTTGCGGAAGTAGCTGCTCACCTAGTTGCAGTTTATAACAACATCCAGCTGAACCACAACATAGGATCAGCGCAGAGAGTGGTCACTGTTAATCATGGAGAAAGGTATCAACATTACGTCAGTACGCAGTATCGACGCTTCAGTGAAGCGCAACCACCACCGGTTGCAGGCGGGCTAAGGATACTGCGAGGACCGCAGGCTCGAACACGCGCCGTCAGAGTTGAAGACAAGCTCGTTACCTTTAGGCTACGGGCCGTTGCATTTTGAAGGGTACAAAACAAAGTCCAGAAAGCTTGACAACCAGTGTTAATCTGTCCAACGATGCCAAGCAGAGCTGGCCTCCATTCGAGTGGAGGGTGCGCCGATAAAATTTCTAGCCCTCGCCAGGTTGTTTAATAATACCATACTTACTTGAAGACCACCTCTGAGTCTGTTCAGTCCATTTGATTGTTGCGACGCCTGACTTTCAAAAACGTACCTAAAATGTTCCTGTCCACCCGATAATATCCACAATAATGACTTACGACAAGTAGGGGGCGTCAGAGACATCTTGCCGTTCCCGTCTTACGTAACGATACGCCCAATATGCTCGTGGGTGAATCTCTCCGACCTCCTCCCAATTCTGGAGAATATGTTTTGGTGTCACATAAACTGATATGTGATTTCCACTTTCAAATCGCAAAGCGGTGTCCCAAGACTGAAGGAAACAACACTACCAGTTTACGCTACCATCAAACAACTATCCGAAGTAGTTGATTTGCTTGCCCATTTTGGTAGATCGCCTACGTCAGTCGCAGCGCTTAACAGGCTAGTACCGATCGTGAAGATTTGTGCGACGTTCCAAAGCATCAGCGACATACGGAGACGGTAGTACGCAAACATACTGATCAACAGGAAGGCCTGCAACAACGTTACCGGCCCGTAGCCTAAAGGTAACAAGCTTGTCTTGTAATCTGACGGCGCAGGTTCGATTCTGCGTAGGAGCAGAGCGACCCTCGCAGTAAGCTCACGTGTGTGGAACAACCATCCGCTTACCACTGAAACGATTCTGATGGTATACAAGTCTATGGCGCTGTCCGTTCTTCTAAACGACAGAGAAACATTCACAATGGAACGGAAGGATGGCCCTTACCTGGAGCACATTCATCAACAGTGTCTGCGTCGTATTCTGCGAATCGGCTGGGGTGACCGGGTTGTAGACACGGAGGAGCTCCGACGCAGCGGCATGCATGCAGTGAACTGCATACTACTGCTACGGCACCTGAGGTAGCTCAAGCATATAAGAACATGGATTAGACCCATATACCGAAACAGCTGCTCAATGGCCAACTGCGTGCATGGAAGCGGCACGTTGGAAAACCAAAGTTACGTTATCAGGACATGATCAAGGTGAGTTTAGCCCGAACTAATGTTGATTTGAGGCAGTGGATCGGCGCCGATGGCGAAAGAATATCAAGAGGGCGGTTGCCAAGGTACATGAGAAAAAACTACTGCATGTGGAAAAGAAACGTCGGTTAAGGAAGCGACGGGTGCGGATGGTGGACAGAACATCGGCGTCGAACGCAATGAGCTGTAGCACATGCGGTCGCGAGTGCCTGAACCAAACTGAATTAGTAAGCCACCAGCGTCGCCACGCGGAGACGAGTAAGTTAAATATGTAATTGTCATCAGCGCAGCGCTTGATAAGGACGCTGTTTCCGGTTCAATTCCATTTACTAACCCAAGCCAATGAGGCGGTTGATATGCTACGTGTGCTACACGTGTGTGCCTGCGCGTTGATTTTCTCGCATTGTAGGTGATGGTTACTGATTGATATTGCCGGTGTGATTGAGCTTGATGTAATTGATGACAAGGACCCCCACCTCGATAACCGGCTCCATGAGACTGAATCGTTGCCTGGGGGCGGCGGGTACATGGTCCTCATGACCGTGCTAGACTCCACGCGTGGTTCCATCCAGTGCGCAGTGGACTAGAGCTTAGTCACATCCTTGTGTACATCTGGTAGATTTGATTCCCCAAACAGACAGACAGGAATGCTGCTGCTGTGTAAATTGAATGAGTGTGGGCCGGCTCCGTGGATGAAACGTGGCTCCCATCCACATGCCTCCCGGTCTTATTCCTTCGGGTTTACACTGGATATAGGGTGTGTGGATGGAGCTGTGGGCGGCGCAGTGCAAGCCACACATGGTCCCTTTGTAGGCACATACGTGCTGTGGCTGTTCTCAAGAATGCCTTAGTGATGGGCAAATCCAGAACCGGATGCCGCCAAACATATAGAGCAAGCTTTCAGACGCGGTATATTTTATTGTGCTGGACCGTAACACAGGCGAAAACTTCCAGCTTTCTGTTTTTTGGCGTTACAATAGGATTTTTATTGTTGTAATTCAAATCCCGTTTATATGATCCTTAAACGAAAGGCGGCAATCCTGCCGTCCTTTTTCAAGTTTTCGTTCTGGTTTGCAAGTATTGTGCGGAAGGATTAAGCAGACCGCGTCAATCATTCTGTGCGTTATCCGACCGCCTGCTCCAGCACAGATTGTGCAGCAAAAATACGGTCTTCGCATCCCAATCCCTGTCGGATATCTCCACGTTCTCATAAGGGGAACCAGTCTAGCGGTAAGGCGACGTACGGAAATGGAAACCAACAATGGCAGCATCAAATGGATGCTCATGTGATTGACACACAAGTAACGGCCGCTCTCATTGTGCATTATCATCAATTCGCACAAACAGATTGGGGAAATTTTTGCACATTCCTCTCACATGACGTTACCATCCTATCCGAACGACCAACTTAACACATAACCTGGACGAGCAGAGATTTTTAAACTCAACTTAAACTGGAAACTCAAGAATAAATCTGTAATCCCCAAAACGAGCCATAGAGCGACTCCCATTGCTAATAAAGGTTGTGGTGATCTCTTTGACTGTTTTGCATACCGATGACTTCCGGTAAGTAGTAGCGCAAACCAGCCAGACCAACCTGGGGAAGTGACCAAACACCCCTTCATCCTCGGTCTTCTAACATGTCTTAGTCAAAAAAAGTTTCCTTACCAACTCGCAAACACCCGGTGGGCTCACTCAAAACTTTTAAAGCAACAAATTGAAAGACGAAGATGCAGTTGAAAGAATTGACTTGAAAACTAAACAAGGAGCCCTTGACTGAAAATGTGTCACATCAAAAGGTACATACCGGAAGGGCCTCAGAAGGGTGGATGCGTAGAGTTCCGACTGAGGCCAAACACATTCAAAATAGGGAAGCGTCAGAGAGGCCACTTGGGCTTGACAGCATCGAAACAGTGTGTTTATCGGATCGTACGATGGGGTTTGTTCGGAACGGAGAAATGAAGTACAACTGAACGTAGTGTGTCGAGGAAATAAAGGAACAATCCGTCAAAGAACGTGTCCCGTCGAACAAAATTACTGATCAGACGTAAATACAGCAAAACTAGGAGCAGTAAAACCGCATCATTAGATGATTGAGGGACACACAATTCTAACAGCAAATCTGCAGAAAAGACCCACATTTTAGGTGTTTTAACAGGGCCTTGTCGATCCGAAACCGAAGAGGACGGGGAGGCGGAGGGAATCGGTCTGTGGAAAGAGCGAGATTGTCATGCATATTGAGGGTTGTAGAATGGGGGCCACAGGTTCACAATGCTCAATGCTACGCCAACACGATGTGAGCAAAACCCAAAAGCATGATAAAAATGGGTGGCGATGAAAAGTCAACTCTGGCTGGTGCGGAACTGCAGCATGCTCCAAACCGACAAAAAATTGAAAGTGCGGTTTGGAATCCCGTTCGGTAGTTTGGAGTCGAACAGTTCACATACGCTAGTTCATCAAATAGAGCACTCTGAATTTAGGAATTGAAGTTTCCTCGTGAGTATGACACAATAGCTGACGGAATACTAATGTGACATACGTGGACGGGGAAATGATCAGCAGTGGAGCAGAACCCATTTATCAGGATAAAGAGTGACGGAATTAGCAGATGCGTCAGGACGCAGAAAACAGCAATGAGGCGAAATAACAAAAATACCTTGTTAGTTTATTGGAACAAGTGTCCGATAAGGTAGGCTGCGCAATGTCGAACGAGGCAGCAGTAGAACGCATTCGATCCGCACAATGGGGACTGGTTGGTGTAGATTCTGAAGAGGATAGAGATGACGAGGACGATGGCGATAACGAGGAAGAAAGAGTTTCTTTGAGATTAGGCTCCCCATAAAACATTTTTGAACGTAGACTGCTACTGTCCACCGATGACGTTTTTGAAAGAACTTCAGTCTTTGCTTGGTTGTTGGAGCCCGGAATAGGCACGAAATAATTTGAGCACGCAATGTCATCCGCCTACGGAAAAAGTCAAGATGTACGGTTGTGTTGATAATTAATAATGCAAACGGATAGCGAACAGTGAAGTGGCGTAAACAGTGATGAGTGGCTGCGATACCCTCGTTATACTTATACACGCCTACTTCGGTGTGTCGCTTTGAATACCGCACTCAGTTGCGTAAAGGTTCAATATGGTCTACCGATGGTTTGGCAAAAATGCAAGAAGAAGATGGGCTGTGAAAGAGACTGGTTTTTACGCATCAGCTTACTAGATGGAGGCTGGGGGCCTAATTTGGCGTGGTGCAATCGTGAGGTCAGTGGTGTTATCGCACCCGGTCTGCTCGCTTCCACTTTGAGCTAAGTTCGCTTTAATTTTCCCATTACTGATTACCTATCTCGTTAACATGTGTCATTTAATCAGTCCATGATATTCAGGCGATTGCCACTCTTCCTTTCATTAAGATGACGGCACGAGTAATTGTAATCGCGCAGCAGCACTCGGTTTGGCTAGGTGCTGGACAAACGGATATACTAACGCATCGGCGAAATGCGTGTTTTAAAATCATACAACGAAGGTTATATGGCGGGGAGAAAAAGAAACGCACAGGCAGCAAGACTGGAGGAGACAATAAGTTGTTCGCGTCGTGGGTATCGGAACGCGCAGGGGGTCTGCGATCAGCAGATGATAAAGGCGCTTGAGGAAGAATAGGCAGAAGCGGTGGAGGACGCCCGGATGCATTGGTAGCAATATCCGAAACGGGAGGCGAGGAGGAAGACACGTTATGTCTCGAAGTATTAACCAACGACAAGGTAGTGGCAAACGAAGACGGCGGAGATAAACCGAGTTCGCATGATCGCTGTGTCAATGTGGTTGAGCTCGGTTTATGATGAGTCGAAGTTGATATCTTTATAGTTGGCAAAGAACCCGATAGAAGCACATTTGCAGATTTCGCTCGACTTTGTGCATTCTCTAATATTTCTGTCGTGCTGGCAGCAGAAAGTGAGGTTGTGGAGCTCAGGGACGAGTCCAAGGAAGAGGGTGAGGAAGGAAGGGAATCTACTTGATGCGATTCAGCGAATTGTATGGTGCCAAAACGTTGACCTGTAAAAGATATGGGCTTCATCATTCCAAGGCGCGGTGAGCCATCACTTGAGCGAAGCACCGATTCATTTCTTTGAGAGTCTAAACTGCACCCTTGTTGATCACTTGTGGGCACCGATAACAGCTGCGCCCGAAATAAGTCCATCATCGGCTCCGTGGAGTCAGAAGCGGGAGAATCCTCCTTCAAATGAACCTCCGGATGAGTACTGACTAAATGAAGCTTTTCATCATCCAGAGCGCAGTTGAAAGCAGATGTCAGGCGTGGGCCGGTAAATTTAGGAACAGTACGCTTGTTGATGCGCTCAGTGTGAGATCTCATATTCAGATACTTCTCTTTAATTTTATCAGTGGAGATATCGGATAGCCTCCCCTGCTTTTCTCGGCGTGTAGTGCGTGGTTCCGACACGGCTGATGTGGAAGTCACAGATGACGTTGATCTCGTTTTTAGAGGAGATGTTGTACGCTGATAAGAGAAAAGAACAGTTAAAGTGGTCAAAAGGAACAAATCGATAAAAAACAAAAAGGATGGCTGGAAACGATTACAGCTGTATATGCATAGAAAGCGCTTGACGAGTCATCAGCTGAGATGCAAAGGAAACATGAACACTCTCTACAGCGGAAAGGTTATACCTGTTTAGGAGTTAGTGAGCCTCGAAGCGGAACTTCATGATTGATTCCCACTTTTCATGGACTCCACAGGTACAGGCAGTAGCAGACAACAATTAATGATAGTAGGGCTAGATCGTCAGCTACGGCTCTCTACCGGAAGAGTTGAACATGGATAAAACCGATGGTGGAGTACAGTGTTGGAAGAGAGAAACATTTAGACTGTTCCCTGCAGATGGGACCACGGTGATCAGAATAATAGGTCGTGTTCTGATCGAAGTGAATCGCAGGTCAACTTGAGGTTGTCTGTAGCATTCCAGACATACAGTGGATATCATAAAGATTAAACACATGACAAACCTTCGTTATGAGATAGATTCAGTCAGGCAGGGGCTCCATAGAACACCCAGATAGACATATGCTAGGCCCGTATGATATTGGATCAAAGCATATCTGGCCAGAATAGGGGAGTCACAGTCGAGGTGACTGCGTTTCATACAAGGTGCATGAATAAAGGAAGGCAGGATTAGGGGCATAAGTATCTGAGTCAATCAAAATAAACTCACAGATGGGGCTGGCGGATGAGGGGTGTTTCGAACGGGACTATTGACAGCTGATACTCTGTGGACAGAAGGACGATGAGGACGACGCCTATGGCCGCGTGAATGTGTGGGTCTCACACGCCGCAAGGAGTCCGAAGTGGTATTGGAAGTGGATATCACATTGGATGAGGTAAATGTATGAGAATGGATCTGTGGGTAATCTGGATCCAGAACAGTAGCTATTGGAGATCCTCTAGATAAAGTGACATTTGGAGAATCACATCTGGAGGAGTGTATGTCCAACTGCTCAAATTTGGTATCAGCGTATGCACCTTCTGAGGTTGTAGAAATTTTGTTAAGCACTACGAACAACTCGTCACCAGTCGCAGCCAAGTTGAGCGATTTCGAGGAAGAAGTGGCTTCGAAATCTGTAGCAAGAAAAGTGATACGAAGAACCCATATCAATAGGAGGAGGATGCCCACGGTAATATGGGTACAAAGAAAAGGAAAAGTAACTTGGTGTGGTTGGATTGCTAAGTCATTAAATAGAGAGATAACATACCAAAAAAACGATAATCGATTATAGGAAGTTAACGTACGTTTTCAGTAGCGCAACAAACCAGAATCGATAGTTAAAACCTGGGAGACAAATATCTACTCAGATAGTCATATGACTCAAAGAAAATATATGGTATCGACAAACACGAACGACTGAAGACAGCGACAGACCATCTTAATGTGTGACACTGTTGAGACCAAAAGCGCCACCAAACATATGATATATGGCCAACATTATAGGGAATGCAAGTGTGTCTTTACCGCATATCTTTGCGGGTGACATAGAAATGCTGTACACAATAGATATCCGGTGTTTGAGTGATACACTAGAAAACATTCGCATAGACCTGATGGTATTGGAATCGTGGTGCGCCGATTGGCAAATGTCCTTGTTAGAGGATATACAAGTGTGAAATTCACCAAATCCACTACCTTTGTGGTAAACCCATCCCCTGTAATGATACAATACGTGCTCTACGCATTCGGTATTCTAGCACTCAGGATTTCGGTGAGCGAGTGGAATTCATAACGGCCATATCAGGAAAAACAGCAGAATTCATTTTAAAGTCCTTCTCTATGCGTGAACCTCTTCTGCCCCGGTTTGAGGCCTGCATTTGCGCTGTGCCAGAGGAATACTCGATTATTTTTAAATGCGGCAAGAAAGGTGACCGCGTGTGTCTAGAACACACGCAGCGATCATTCCCAATGGCCGTCTTCAGCCCCCTAGTCCAAATCTAACTACTCCTAGCGTTGTAACATGCTACAAATGGGGTCACTGTGGCTAGGACGCATAGTGCTAGCATTAACATCCCTATTCAATTTGGTGCAGAAGCGTGTGTACACACCAAATATCACTATTCACCTCGAACATGAAGGTGGATTCGCAATTAGGAATGCCAAGAACACACCCGATGTTCAAAACGAAAACTAAGCCTTACAAAATATTCTACTTAAACAGATACATTGATATCTGGAACAGTTTTCATATAGATTTAAGGGCATTCGAACACCAACCATCGTTTAAAAGAGTATATCCAAACTGTCTGACAGCGCAATACGTAAAAACAATAGTGCAACTAAAATACAATGAAAGGATGCTATTTGAGGAGAGGGCCGAGTTTTAGATGTGCAGATTACAAATACGCAGAAAATATGCCACGTACAGCGTATTTAGTTGATTTGGTCCTACTGAATAAGTGCATTGAAAGAAAGATGAAAAGTTGACGGAACCCCTTTCACTATGCCTTACTAGAACCTCTTCTTTACTCGGAAAAGCACACCAATAAGTGTGGAACGGGGAGGAATTGCAGAGTGAGAGTGAGCTAACAATTTTTGTCTCCACTCTACATATTCTGCTTCTAAGCATACCAAAAAGTGTTAACTGGAAAGGAAACACCGATTTGCTTTTTGATCTTCACGCACTTTTACCATTCGTTTCATTTTTTGAAAGGCTACCCTTTCCTTGTTGCGCTCATGTAAATATGTCAAGTGACAAGGAGAAGCTAACGAATTCTGATTCTAACTAGTAGTAGTAGTATGGTCAGCAGTCTATTGAATAGACAGAGCCAAACAAAACTATTGGAATCGCTGAAAGAAGACAGGTTTAACGCCGTATCATCATCATGGCACATTAACTGAAAGTGAGCAACACACCAGATATTGTGCCGCAATAAAAGGAAAAAAACGGATTGTTTTTTGTTATTTTGCACACGTCATTTTTGATTTTTTTGTCACTTTCAATCGGGAAGCAGTAAACATCCAAATGTAAAAAATTATGTACACAAATCATTCACTGGTTTCGATTACGAGCCATATCTTGAATTGTTTCCAGCCATCGGCACTCCTCGTCCTTTAGCCCCCAACCAGGCAGACGAGTGGATCCAGTGGTGGCAAGGCGTGAAGTCAACGATTTTATTTGTTGTCGCCAGGTGGATGGTGGACCACCACGTGGTCTCTTCCAGTTCAGTCCTGCACGAGCAAACAGAGCGCGATAGGGTAGACACTCAGCTGACATACGCAGGACAAGACCGAGCCATCTTAACTGGCTCAACAAAATCCGCTTGCTGAAGGGTATACCTGCATTTCCTAAGACACGTCTGACTTCACTGTTGCAGATGTGTTGTTGCCAGCACACATGAGCAATCCTATAGAAGCACGTGTTGTCGAAGGCCGAGATCCGGCGCATGTCGTCTACGCGAACTGATCATGGCTCACTTGCATTTAACAACACCGTCCGAACAGTGACAGTGTAAAGACGACCCTTTAGCAAATGGGAGACACCGCGACAACGTCACAAGTGCTGCAGGTTGACAAACGGCAACCGAATTTTGGCGATGCGAACAGAAACTTCCTTTCCAATGGTACCCCTATTAGACACACAGCTGCCCACGTAGACAAAACTATCCACTTGTTCAAGTTGAGTACCTTCAATAGTGAATACGGGAACGGGTGAGTGTCAATCCTGGAGCAGCACTTTACATTTTGACGGGGACAAGCACATTCCGTACCCAGATGCGTCAATCGCCAAACGGTCTAGAATACTTTGCATGCTCTGTGAGTCGTCACCAACTAAGGCGATATCATCGGCATAATCTAAGTCGGTCGGTCGTTTACCCGGTAGTAGCTGTAGACCAAAATTTTGGTAATCGTCTAGAGCTCTCGACAGGACGTCTTCAACAGCAAGTTGAAGAGGAACGGGGACATAGGGCAGCTTGGAGGTAACCGAACTGAGGCTAATACACCGGTGGTTGGTTTACACCCTACTTAAAAATGGGGCCAATGACTCGTCCCAGGAAGAAGGCACCTACTCTTCATGCCAGGTTTTGGAGAACAATGAGGTTAGCTGGTTAATGATAACTGAGCATCAGACTTGAACGGCTCCGGAGGAAGTCCTTCTGAGCCGGCAGCCTTGAATCGTTTTAAGTGTCGAATCGAAATAAAAACTTCGATTCGCTAGGTGAAGCAAGGGTGACGACACAGAGCGGGCAGCCGGATTCACGGGACATATAAGTGGACGATGAAGGACAATTGAACTGGGAATGCAAATGTTCGGCCCATCGGTCCAAGCGTCTCTGTAAGTTGGCAATCGGCGAACCATCTGCTTCGCAAATTGTCACACTGTCACCAGGCTTTCTGTGGCAGTGGATCGAATGAGCTGGAAGAGCTTGTGAGTATTGCCAAACAGGGCGGTGGCCTCCATTTCCGAAGCAGGTTGGGACCACCAGGCCTCACAGTCACTGCGTAGGCTTTGTTTGAATTGCTGACTACAGAACGGCGCACTTCGTTATGCGTGGAATGCGCTGGGATATTTCTGCGGCCGTCAAATAAATCCAAAGAGCGCGTGGAGATCCAGGTCTTCATAGGGAGATGAGTCAAAACACAGAGTGACTGCTCGGAATAGATCATGGTCCACTACATACACGTCTAGTGTTCATCAATATTTTGCGGTGTGTAGCAGCCGAGTGCACCGACCAGGGAAGTTTGAAAGCTCTGCTGAACTGAGACAGTAGATGGTGTATTTGTGTCTACCTTGCAGTGCTTCGTTATCGGGGACCTTCCGAAACTCATGCAGATGTTCGCACAAACAAGAGCTTAGTCTGAGTCAATAAAAATGGACAAGATGGATCTGCAATCTTTTGCACTACTCCTCCATCTGAAACTGATTGCGATATGATCAATCTGAGACCATGATTGAGACGCAGAAGGGGGTCGCCAAGTAGCGGAACGTTTCCTCGAATGCCGAAAGCTGGTGCTCGAGAGAAACAGATGATTATCTTCGCAGTGTGAGAAGTCACTCTCCATTATCTGAGTGGCTCTTATCCAGCGCATGGTGGCCACCGAGGTGACTTTCGTACAATAATAGCGATCGACCAGTGCGCTGAGATCCCCAGCAAAGCAACAGTGTCGGAGTTGCAGGCACTGCATAAGAGCTGATGAAGTCCACGGCAGAAATCGTCATTGACTGCGTCGGAACTGCAGTCAGCTGGAGCGTAATCTGATATCACATACAAGTTGCGTCTCTCCTCACGATGTCTGTTGATCCTGCACGATCTCCGAAGCTGAACAGCACATAGCGGGCTGTTAAACGGGACCCAGTCCAGCTTTGCTACTTAGCGCTACACCAACGCAAGTCAAGCCTGCTGCAGCTGCTTCTGTATCACAAGATAGACGTAGGTGAAATCTGGTTCCGTGGGCAGTGGGAAATCTCAACTCAATCACAGTACTGGGATCTTGCAAGCGTTTCTTGCAAAGACAGAAAACATGGATGGCGAGGGATTCCATACTGTCATTATTTGACAACAGAAACAGATCAACTCGTATGTTTTCGTGTGTATGACAATGTATTCGGCTGTGTAAACCGTGAAATGCTGCTGAAAGATCTACTCATTCAAGGAATACATCCCTCCATTAGCAATTTGTTGAAGGATTAATTTGCTGGACGTAAAAAGATTATACGATCAGTGGCAAATACTCCTACCCTCCAAACATCAACTCGAGCGTTCTTCAGGGAGCAATTCTGTCGCCTTATCACTTTCTACTTACATCAGCTCAATAACAGTCTAACAGTAAGTGACGCCTGCCGTAACAAAGCAATGCCCACTCACCGTGTAACAAAAGTGCCGCAGTCGTATTTCGGTATTGGCGCTTTAAGTGGAACGCTGCTCAAAACGTCTCACTTTTACCGAAGGGGGCTGCCTGTCAAACCATATTTCAGTGACAAGTTGCACAGGCCCCCTTTTGGCGCTTTGCTCAAAAGCACCTGATGACATTTTGGCACCCTGGACCCCGATCATTCGCAGCCACGCACCTGTGATTGTATTGAGATCCGGACAAACCGAACCCGCCCGAACACTGGTAGGTCGTCTTAACA